CATACTTGGCCTTCACGTCCCTTCACTTCACTATATTAGTGAGGACATTGCTTAGACTTAAATTGATTTTATATCAGGTCAATGATATTTTCTATCACCTAACTCAACCCCTACCCCTAAACCTATCACTAGGGGTGGGGGAAAAAATCGATTCTTAGATGCATCGCGATGCGGACGTGGACGATTCTGAATCGATTCACAAATGTCAAAAAATCGATTCCCCCCATAAGTGAGGACATTTGGCCGTCACAAGTATAGCCAAACCTGGAGACACACACACAGAAAAGAACAGGACTGGGTCAGTTTACTCTAAAAGCATAGTCTGTTTTCTGTTTATTCTCAAAGCAGTAAAGCGCGAACGGACATTTAGTCTGGAATTAGGGGTCTGACCTAGGCAAATAAGTCCACGTGTGTGGCTCTTACTAGCGCGCTTTTACCTCTCTAGTCCAATAGACTTCACTTTAAAATAACCTTTTACAATATAAGTGCTAGAATCAAGAATTGAGCTCAAAAAAGTAAAAGAAAGCTCCCTTTCTTCCTGAACTGTAACTAGATCAGGTGTCAAACTGCAGTGTGTTTAATATACAGCAAGTTTACATTATAAAACACCAATACAATTCTTTCCATCCAACTGAGAGGAAACTGAGAAAGCATTATTTAAATATCAACACCTCCGAATCACCAATCATGGACACTTTATTCTCAATCAAGCTGCAGATTGGATGGCCGAGCCAACTCGCCTGTCTGAAAGAGCAAATCAGAGAGACTGTGACTGAAGTTCATGCTAGCATTGCCCGCTCAAAAAAAACTAGTAACGGCTATAATTATTCTTCCTTTTCCTGCGTGGTTAGAACATTCGGGTGAAAACGTCTATGTGTGTGTGTTTTGAAACAATGACTCATGCTAACCACCAGGGGGAAGAATAATGAGGCGAGACTTGCAGGGAACACAGTGAGAGAGAAACCGTTTTGAGGGGGTCAGCTGGGGATTCTAATGTACACTGGTGTGTGTGTGTGTGTGTGTGTGTGTGTGTCCCCTCCCACTTGCGTTGCTCGAAACACACAAACAGTTACTCTATATTTTCCATGGCATGATGGAGCTGTGGTGTTCATTCTATACTGGTCAGCCGTGTTTCCCAGTAGCTGTTCCTGCTATTCTGAGACCGAAGGTCACAAGAACACACTCCTAAGGTAGGGACACACCAAACAGACGCCAAAGACTTAGTGCTGATGAAAGCCAACTGTGTTGTCGCCTCATGTCACCTATGTCGGGGAAGAAAAATCTGCTTGAACACACCGACAGGACTAGTCAACTGTCAGCTAGCACGTACGTTCTGCGCCTGCGTATAAAGGAGGTAACGGTCTATTTAAACAGATATATTTGTCTATTTTCGCCATTCAAAAAGGGAAAGCAAAACTAAGACTGCAGGTATACAAACCATAAATAAAGGAGCACTTGTTTACCGTTTTGAATACCAATCATGCTGATCCCATTCTTTATCCCATTCCGCTCGTTATGAAAATATTTGCGCAGTGGAATGCTCAGGTAAGATGATGTAAAATTAGAACAGCCTTCTGTCTGTGCAGTCATGACTTCTTTGCTTGCTGTAATCACTTTGCTCGTATTCTCGTGCACTGACTCGTTTGCTAAACTGAACAGCCAATCAGAGTTCTCTCTCTCATAGACGGCCCGGCGCCGATTCTACATGTTGAATCGGTAAAAAAAAAAAAAAAAAAAAACTAAGAAAAAAAAAAACGGTGCCAACGGTGCAGACCACACCAAAAAAATTTAGCCAACCGTCGGCTTGGTGTGTATATATATACACACACACACACACACACACACACACACAGTATCTCACAAAAGTGAGTACACCCCTCACATTTCAGCAAACATTTAGTATATGCATTTAATATAAATATATTTAGTATACATTTCGTATAGTATAGCAGTATATATTTACTGTCCTCTGAAAATAACTCAACATACAGCCATTATTGTCAAAATAGCTGGGAACAAAAGTGAGTACACCCTAAGTGAACATGTCAAAACTGTGTCCAAAGTGTCAATATTTTTTGAGCAGCATTGTTATCTAGCACTGCCTTAATCCTCCTAGGCATGGAGTTCACCAGAGCTGCACAGGTTGTTGCTGCTCAATAGGGTTCAGGTCTGGAGACATACTTGGCCACTCCTTCACCTTCAACTTCCTCAGCAAGGCAGTTGTCATCTTGGCGGTGTGTTTGGGGTCGTTAGGCACAGTTTCTGAAGGGAGTTCATGTTCTACTTCAGAATGTCACAGTTCATGTTGGAATCCATGTTTTCCTCAATGAAGCGCAGCTCCTCAGTACCAGCAGCACTCATGCAGCCCCAGATCATGATGCTACCACCTTGACTGTCGCCACACATTCTGGACAGTGGACACCATATGAGCCATCTTAGTCTCATCAGGCCACAGGACATGGTTCCAGTAATTCATGCTCTTGGACAGGTTGCTTTCAGCAAACTGTTTGTGGGCTTTCTTATGAGCCAGCTTCAGAAGAGGCTTCTTTCTGGGACGACGGCCATGCAAACCAACTTGTTGCAGTGTGCGGTGTATGGTCTGAGCACTGACAAGCTGACCCCCCCGCTTCTGCAACTAAGCGACAGTCATAAACATCCGAAATAAACAGACCAAATACACTACCATTCAAACGGCCGATAGGTTTTTCTGTTTGGCCGTTGTATTGAATGCGGGACTTTTATTTTTACGGCGCTGAGAATGTATAAAGTATTTATATTATATATATGGGCTTTACATCGCCCACCCTGCTCTCTAAGATATTGGCATTGATCAGCCACCAAAAAAACAATATCGGTCGACCACTAATGATAATTAGTACTGGGTATTGACGCAAATTTCACAATTCAATTCGATTTAGATTCACAAGCTTGCAATTCGATTCGATTCAATATTGATTATTTTGGATATCAGGTACAATACATGACAAATTTTCTCAAGGAAAACAAATCTCTTAACTAATGCTGTATGGGAGTCAGTTGTAACCTACTAGGCTTCATTAGCCTACTATAATATTATTGAAGGTAAAAATTAACTGATTTGTAGCTATACAAACACTTAAATTACACTTATTTATTTTTATAATAAGAAAGTTATATGAAATATAAACATTTAAATGGTGGCTGTCATAAAAACTTCCCAGATTTATTCAAACATGCATTAAATATTGAAGAACATTAAAAGTGATAATGAATATGTAATATGGTGCATATATTTAGCAAAATGCTCCTCTTTAGAGTTAATTTTTCTAGCTGACTAACGAGTTTATGGTCACATGGTTTTTCTGAGGTAAATGTGACGTTACATGACATTGTTTACAAGCTGTTTTACTAACGTCTTTCCACTGTTGAAACACTGATTGAGCGATTCCATGTGTCATGATACGGATTTCGATAAGTTGTACTCTATCTTTTAACACACTTTGAGATGCTCATTCATGTTTATTTTGCGCGGTAACTGGTATTGTTAGCTGGTATTGGATGATTAATTGATTCTTGAGATTTAAGAATCGATATCGGTTCGTAAAAATAAGAATCGATTAATATCGAGAAATCTATATTTTTTTACCCAGCCCTAATGATAATCCTTTATACACAGAGCTTTCCGGGTCATACAGAGGTGAATATATTTCTCAAGTAAAGCAGCAATCATTACACAAAGTGCTTAAAAGTAAAAGCCAATTTAAAAAAGTAACATTTTGCACAAAATAAAGATAAGCAGAGCAGTAGTCTCCATCATAATTAACTCTGCTTCAAATTCTGAGAAACCTGGGGTTACGTGTGTGTGAGGGTCCGCTGGGACGGATGGGGTGGCCTTTATCGGGCCGTCAGAGGGAAAACGCATTTCATGCTCTGCTGACCCCCCTTTTCTCTCTCTTCCCCTCTCCCTTGTCCACCTAGCAGAAGAATTAGGCAGCAAAATTGCTCCCTGTGTGACATGGCCACCGATGTGTGTGTTTGTGTCTGAGAATATGAAAGAAATGTCAAACAAGACCATCTAAACGTCAAGCTACATTATGTGCGCTGGTGGAGACACTTCTCTTAAACTTCTCAAACGCACAATACAAGCTAAAAAGATCCTACTCTACTACTAGAGCATGGCCTGTGGCATTCCGGCACCATTCCCAGCTCCCTACAGGGGACTGATACTGGAAAAACTACTATTGCTAAACTAGCTTATGACAGGGAGTCCTTATTTACTCCCAAACGTCATGTTTTCACAAGGAGTAAACCTTCTCACTTATAGATTTCATCAGTCACTGTAACTGTCAATCACCCGTCACTATAGCAACAGTCAATCACTGTGCTTGATTCTAAAAGGATGGGTAACATCTAGAGTTGTCAAAAAGTACCGACTTCGGTACTGAAATTTTAAAATGTTACGATACAGCATTTCCCTCTAGCATTTTGAGCGCTGTTGAACAGATTCTTAAAAACACCTCTGATTGGCCGTTGTGTTGTCACGCTCAACATATATGTCTGTGATTGGCCGTTGTGTTGACGGGCTCAACATATATGTCTGTGATTGGCAACAATGATCAACTCTTCAAAAACATGTTGTCTTTGACGCTCTTCACCGAGCGCTTAGATACGCATTTAAAAGCAGGCGTCTATCAGCGGATCCCTAATCGATGATAAACCGCTGATAGACGTCACTTTCAAACGCTTTTTTTTTTGTGTGTATCTGTGTAAGCGCTCAATGAAAAGCGTCAAAGACAACATGTTTTTGATAATTGTTGCCAATATATGTTGAGCGTGACAACACAACGGCCAATCAGAGGTGTTTTTAAGAATCTGTTCAACAGCGCTCAAAAAATGCTAGAGGGAAATGCTGGTATCGTCACATTTTTAAAATTTCAGTACCGACTTGGTACCGAAGTCGGTACTTGACAACTCTAGTAACATCATTTGACAGAAAAATGTATAAAGTAAGTGAGACTCACATCCGGGTACTCTTTGACCGGTACAAAGAGTTTCTCCTGCAGATGTACGATGGGTCCCACTGGCTCGGGTAACTCCAGTGGGTGCTTGTCCACCAGACCGTTCACTGTGTCGTTATACATGTCTTTCCTCACTCTGGTTATCTCTGCAGGTAGACAAAAAAAGACAAACAGATCAGAAACGGCTGAATGAGAGAGAGGGAAAAAAAGACAAAAAGGCATGAAATGCAACACTCCCTTCATTAACATGAGATTCCAGCGCATATCCCCCTAAATTCAGTTGCCAAATTTCATGGAAAAATTAACATTTTAAATTTCACAGTAACAGGAACTCATGCACATATTGAGATCTTTTAAACAGAGACTCTTTTAAAACTGCCAGCCCCAGATGAGGTTAAACTGCTGCTGCCAAAACATGATTAAGCTCAGGATGTCCATTCCTTTCACACATATACACACACACACACACGACCTCCCCTCATGATCATTCCCTTCATCACACACAGAGGCTGTGTTTTAAAAACTAGTGAGCTAAATGAGCTGATAGTTAGGGTTTGAATTCCAGATGGTGAAGCAAACACACCTGCCGGATATAGAATTAAAAAGCTAAAAAAAAGAAATCTGATACCCGGAAAACTTATTGAATGATTGTGACCTTTTAAAATGGATTGAGTATCAGGCATGTAAATACAATACTAGGTTTAGTCATGGTTGTTCAAAAACTGAAAATGAACGGTGTGCTATATTCCTAGCGTTTTGAAGTTATATGATAGCCTTGATTGATGAGCATGCAGGAATTCAGTCTGCTGCTCTCAAATGTCATTCACCACTCTGCAAACTAGTTCAAACGTTTGGGGTCAGTAAGATTATTTTTTTTATATAGTCTTTTGAATATGCTCAACAAGGCTGCATTTAAAAAAAATCTAAAATACAGTAACATTGTCAAATATAATAATTTAAATAACCGTTTTCTATTTGTAATTTAATTCTTTAGTCATCAGCGTCACAAAGATGATTCTAATATGTTGATTTGGAGCTTAAGAAACATTTCTTATCAACAATAACGTAAGAAATTTTTCATTTTTAGGATTTAGGACAGGTTTGAAAGATCAGCATTTATTTAAAATATATATTTTTTTGTAAAAATGTAAAAGTCTCTAGGCACTTTTGATCAATGTAATGCATCCTTCCTGAATAAAAGTTAATTTCTCTCAAAAGAAAAGAAAATTAGCATTTGGTCACAACTAGGGTAGACAATTAAATCGCAGTGCAATTGAAATTATTAAGATGGCAAAAGCCTCAAATATATAGTCTGCATGTGTTGCAATTAGTTATGTTTGTTATTACACATACTTCAGCACTGACATTTTGTCAGCTGTGTCAAAGCAATATCATGAAAAACAAGTGGGATCACAGCATCAATAGTGCTTACACACTCTGACAAGATTGTTCAACAGCTAGGAAAGTGTAAGATCCATAAAATCCAGCAAAAATCCAGCAAATTGGATTTAATAAAAAACAACTGGAAACTTACTGCAATTCTCATTGGTTGATGGTCTACCTAAGAGTGTGTTAAAAGTTTTGGTCACATGTCTACTGATGCAAACCCTTGCATTTTTACCTCTATGGCAGTCCTTACTGAATTCAATGGATTTGGAGCATTCTCTGATAAAGTGCAAACGAGTGTGTGTAGGTGCCTTGAAGGTGACTGTGGAGAACTGACTTGAGGAGGCCTATAACACTGAAAATGTGCGTTTGCGTGTTTCATGGGGCCCCAGAATCCTGGAAGGGGGTTGAAGGGTGACGCAACACCCAGATCAGAACAACAGCCGCTCATGGGGCCATGTAAGGGTGAAACCTTTAACACAACGTATCTTGTCTCACACATGCAATGAGTCCCAGAGGAGGTGACACAACCGCTGCAAGTATATTAGTCACATTTACAGAATTCAATCCATCTTTCTCTCTTGACCCGAGAGCAACCTCATATTCCTCCACCCTTCTCTTTTTCCATCCCTCGGTCTCACCCTGTGTCTCTCCCTCCATCTTTCTCACACTAGAGAAGGAAGGATTTATCACTGGTTCTCTGGAGTAAAAATGCTGCATGTCTGCATGTTTAATATTCTTGGACTGCAAGGGAGTAGGTTAGAGTAAAAGCAGGAATTAAAAAATTTAAATATCCTCGACTGAACTAGAAATGTGTCATGAACAAAAACGTGTTCATTTAAATCTTCTCCCAGGCTCACACAGTATACATCCCCGTACATGGGACCTTTCAATATACATCAAAAATAAACAGTGTAAATGATAATCTACAGTGCACATTACTTCATTTGTAACATTTTATTTTTGCCTGTCTTTGTCACAGACATACACACACACACACACACACTCTCAAACCTCTTCTAAAAGCACTCTTTTAGTGTGCACTTAAAAAAAAAGCCAATGAAAAATAGAAACTAAAGTGTTTCTGTCCTGTGGCTGAACGAGAGAGGCACAGTGAAATGCCACATTACCATAAAGTAGCAGCAAGAGAGCGAGCGAGCGATAGAGCACATGCCATTAACGGGCACAAACTCTGAGGTGAGTCCTAATTTCAATGTCCAGGACGCTGGTAGCCTAATGGTTAAGTACCTTGTTTGCCAGCACAAAGGTCACAGTTTAAACTCAACTAAGGGGTGAGGCAGGAATGTGGAGAAGTGGTGAGATCAGATTCGGGTCTATTAAGCAGGACACTGAGCCCCACAATCGCTCAGTGTTCAGGCTGCTGGTCTGGGGGTGCAATAGTTTACTTATTTGATTATTACTTTACTCATTTATTTGTTTAGTTTAGTGGTCCACACAGATCACAAAACTCAGGGTTCCGATCACATTACAGTTTGAGTCACAGACTTTTTTTCGGGGTAACTTTGCTTTCCATTTATTACTTAAAGGGCACATTAAGTACTGCGATACCCCAGCAAAAACTTCTTGCCTATCTAATAAAGTTCAAACATTATTAAAGGCAAGTGAACAGTCAGTAAAAAATTAAGAACAAATATACTGATTACAAGCATAAATAAATACAATACGACAAACTTAAAGTTACAAATAAAGTAAGGTCTAATTGTAGTTTTCATTTCAGGTACCGAAATGTAATAATTACATGTAAAATAACTAGGGGTGTAACAGTACAAAAAAATTACGGTTTGTTACGTTTTTGACATCACGGTTTGGAACAGCAGGGGGAAGCAAACTAAACATAACATTGCTTTTTTTATTAAACACTGTTTTACTGAACAAATTGTGTCAAACTTTAGGCCTATATTATAACTAAATTAATATAAAGACAAAGGATAAAAAATATATATATCTGCTAATGCTGTAAACTACATAGGGAGCCCTTACTTGCACATTACTATAATATTAAAAGTTAAAAACAGAGGCACATTACTATAATATTAAAAGTTAAAAACAGAGCCAAAACTATTAGCCTAAACTCAGTTGCTATTTATTTTTAGATATAATATTCAACATACAAATAACAAATTGTATGCAAACATGTAAACTGCACAAAAGCACATTAAAAGGCATTTATTGTTTGAATTTCGTGATAAAATTTACAGTTTGAGTTTTCCGGTTTGGTCGTTACACCCTTAAGGGGGTCATATAATGGTACATGCACTTTTAAAAGTTGATTGTACTGAAATGTGTGTTGGCAGTGCCTGTACAGAAACATCATATAATGATAAAAATCCATCCAGTGGTTTTGTTTTAATCTCCTTATATGTTTTCCCCTGCCTCAAATCGAGCCGTTCGTTTTTGTGACGTCAATAAAACGGACGCCCCTCCCACGATTGTTGATTGACGGGAGCGTTTCAACACAGACCCGCCCTCGCACATGAGGTAGCTGTCAATCATAGTCTGCGCGGCGCGGACCGGACCGGCGCGGTCATTGTTGATGTGCCGGAGCACTGTCTATGAGCAGAATGGCGTCTAAGCGATTGTGGTGTTCTGTTCTTGGGTGTAATAACGAACACAGCAGTCATTTTAATTTTCATGAATCCGAACCGATGAAGACGCAGTGGCTGAGTTTTGTTTTCGAAGGGAATATTCCACACGAGCAACGTCAATGCTTTCATGTTTGCGCGAATCACACACCAGACTGCTTATAAACGAGGGTCAGTATAAAGCTGGATTTGCTAAGAAGCTTTGCTAAAAAGGATCGGTACCAGCTATTCGTGTTCCTGCTGAATCTCCAGAAGAACGGAAGTGAGTGTAACGTTTTATTAAACTTTATATTAATATATTAATCTTTGCAAATCACTAGCTGCACGCTTCACAACGAATGCGTCTAAGGTTTACACTCAGTCAGGGTACATTACGGCATGTTTTCTATGTATGACGTTCTCAATATAATTCATAATTCCACGTTTATACTGAACAACGCGTTATGGTTATGGTGTTATTGTGTTACAAACGGTGTATGCACAGAACAGAGGGGCGGAGTGAGCGCAGCTCATGATCATTTAAAGTCATATGCACTGAAACGGCGTGCTGAAAACAGAGCTGTTTTTGACCAGGTAAAATAAGTGTTTTCTTACAATACTAATGAGAATTTAATTAAAGTATATTACAAACTTTTAATTTAGACCCTAAAGAATCATATTAGCTTGTACAAAAATGGCATTATATGACCCCTTTAAAAATATATAGTGTTCACTATATAAATGTAAAAACACTATAGTGTTCACTATATAAATGTATTAGAAATGAATCTGTTAAAGCTGATGATTTGTTGTTTGATTAACATTAATGAGCAACAACAGCAGGTATTTATAGGCTGCTGTCACTTTAAGACCTAATGTACAGATCCAATATAATGATACACATCCGATTTCTTTCTCAACTGTTTAACGTTCACTTAAGACATAACCGACTGTGTTTACAAGAATACTTTCCAAGATGGGGATTTTGACAATATTGTGTGTATGTCAAGGAGATGCGAAAGAGGAATCAATTTGGAGTCTTCGGAATCTAAAACGCACCTCTGTGTGTGTGCGGGGTGATGAAGAAAAATGTCACGTTGCAAAGAAATATTTCACCCAAAAGGCGAGCCTGTGGATATCACACATAAAATTTGCACACTTTGCATGAGAGTTATGCC